AGTAGTTGAACAACTATCAAGGACGATCTAAGGTTCGCTAAGGATTGGTCACTTGTGGGCAGTTGAAAGTATGGTAATGAATGGACCATATTGACATTATTAAGAATGGATAGGATTCTATTAAGAATGAATCATCATATGGCAAATATGGAAATGTTTCCATAATGGGAGTTGAATATTAAGAATCTATGTGTAGGTTAGAAACTTTTAGGCAAGAAGGATGTTCAAAGGAACGTACTTTAAATTTGAGACTTCGCATCCATGGAATTGTTTAATTATCAATCTCTAATGGAAAGTTTTGTAATTGGCAAAGTCTCTGTGACTTTGGTGCCTTAACATTACAAAAGGGATCATTGCATGATAGCTTAGAATCTAACACATTCTAATAGTGGAAGAATTTGGTATTCTTACACTTATGATAAGGATTTGGAATTGTGAAATGAGCATCATTGGAAATGTGTTCAGTTGATCTATTTCACAAAGTAAGGACCGTAGGTAAACATAGTGCGCATGCTTGGAGCATGGGATAACTATTGTTTTAATTCGAGTATTAAGTTGGTTAGTCAAAACATTATATACTGAATAATCTGTAATCAATTTGGTGATTGAATAATAAGTGTTTTTATTTATATTCAAAAGTGTTGAGAGCATATTGGACTGGATTATTCTTGTGTTTCACTTTGCATGTTTTACTTCCCGAATAATAAGATTATATAAACATCCACAATCAATCATACTTTGGAAGTAAGTAATGAGGCAAGACCGTCATGAATCCGACTGTAGATTGTCTAAGTGTTTAGACATACCAAAAGTTTGCTGTAGTGTTCATGAGTGCTCCTGAAATAGGATTTGAGTATTAGATTAAACCCACGCTCATCTGAATCAGTTCATGGATTTTATCACGAGTGATTGTGAGATGATAATATCTTATATTCTTGGAACAGAGACATATGGGTTGCAGTTTACAAGTCGGTTGCACATTGATGATACGTAAACGCACCAGTAACTTGGTGTTATAAAACATATTATTGTGTCTGATTTGATGAGTAAATTGAGCAAGTATATGAGTTGACGTTTATCCGTTCCTTTTATCCAATGTAGGATAAAAGCGATATCTATTGGCCTCTCGATGATTAAGTGATGACACTCTAAGCGCTTGGCCAAGCTTGGACTAAGTTGATGTGTTAAATTGTGGCCTAATTGTCAGTCATCAGAAGTCGGAAATCGGAAAACAACACATGGACAAAGAGAATGATTATAATCCATGTCTCAGTCCATATGATATCTTGTAGAATGGAGGAATACATAATCCCTTATCTGAAGGACGCATTATTTACCAGGTCAGAGTTCGAAAACGGCTTTTAAGAGCTACGATTGCTAATCGGATTTTGAAGTTACATTGGCATTTATAGTTATTAGACTTATCCAAGTGGGATACTATTAGAATAGGTGTCTAATCCCATAACTATAATTGGTATGTACTTGACCTGATAGTAGCATGATCCTTTTGGGTTGCCTTCACCAGAGCAATTTGAAAGGATGGATATTTGAGAAAGATGTTATTTGTGATTTGTTAATATATTATAAGAATAATATATTAATTGAGAAATCATATTATATAATTGGTATTGATTAAGAATTAATTTGGAATTAATTTAGTGATCAAATGAGATTGATTAAATTTATAGGGACTGATTAGGTAAATCAGTAATACGTATAGGTTGGGCCAATGATCCATGTTGACTAGGGATGAACTAAATCTATGTGAGAGTTCATGGAGAGTTAGTCTAAAGGGCCTATCATATGGATTATTGAAATAATTAAAGGCTTAAGTAAATTATAGTTTTACGTTAGAAACCCTAAGGATTCCACACTATAAATCGAACCCCCAGCCTTCCCAAAATCGGCCAATCACTTCAAAAGTGAAACCCTAGCTAATTTTGGTGTTTCCTAACCTCTCTCTCACAAGCCTCCTCTTGCTTTTGGTGTTTGTGCGTTATTTGAGGTGTCATAAGGTACTAAGCTCTTGAAACGCCAAGTTCTACAAGCTACAACAATGAGGTATTCATCTAACTTGTTTTATGTTGTAAATCTCAAAATTGTATGCTAGTCGAGGTTCATGCTTTGGATAATATGAAAATTGCATGTATAACTTGAGAAAACTTAGATCCAAAGCATTAGGTTTGTATGTGCATTATAGGATTGTTATAGTGCTCAAAACCCATCACGTATGAGGTTCCACACCCCCGATACAACCTTCACAGTATGCTATGCATACCCTGCACTACGCCTTGAGTACCACCCTTCACACCTGTACGCCCTGCGTACTTGCCAGGTACACCTCACGTACTCGGACTTCCCTTCAAACCCTACACATTCCGAAGGCCATAACTTCTTCAATACACATCTGATTCCAACGATCCATATATACACAAAGAGGTAACAAGAAGCTCTATGCTTTAATCAACTTATATGTGACTTACCATACACTCGGACTTCCCTTCAAACCCTAAGTTGAAAAATTACCAAAATACCCCTTTTACTCCAAACACCAAATGAATACCTGAATCATCCAATATACATCATCCACCTTTAAATGAGCCGAAAACTAACTTCTTGAAGGATTCTAGACCTGCTAATACCCAATCCTTAATCACCACCCCGAAATGAAAATGATATGAAATTGGGTGTTACAACTCTTTCCCACTTAAATTAGATTGCATCCTCGAAATCATTCCTTACCATTCCCGACACGCCAATCAACCTGAGCAAAATGGACACTACCTCGAGCATATCCCAACCTTCCCCAAGGAAGCTGAAACCATCCCCTACAGGGCTCCCCAACCCTCAAATGAACGAATCCTTTCACTTCCTGAAAATAACCCATTGCAAAATAACCATATCAACTAATACTAAGACCTTAAGTCTCGAGATGGCCTGACTCCCTGGCAGACCACCCACACTGAACCATTGCTGAATCCATCCCACTTAATTTCCTAACCGACTACTCAACTTCTAATACTTGAGATTCCCAATAGAAGACATAACCACACAGCAATTATCCTAACATAACACTTACACTTGATCGGAGGCTCAAATAATCCTTCAAGTAGGAGACTTATCCCTGTAACGGTTAGACTCAGACGAGAGTTGCACAATAAGGTCAACTAATTTACTATGAGATTATCCAATCCCAACTGCAAATGACTTAACATTTTCTCCGAATAACAAGCTACTCCACACAGAAGCTCCACAACAATAAGACTTCCCTGACTTATCTGGATGCCCTTCACCATTAAAACTAATCCAAGAGACAATTACGAGAGATTGGTCTATCATCAAAACTGAATCCATTCATTACCCTTGAACCCTTCGACCGATGCCTCGGCATATAAATACCCTAATCCTTATTCAAATGAAATGAAAATCCCGCACAAAACACTTGCAATACCTGACTCGAGATTTCAACCAAAACCAACCCAATGCTTAACTCATAACCCAAGATCCACGGATATGCACTTGCATATCACCCAATACCTTCTGATAACGACAACCCCTTGCTAGACCGAGGTATAAAGGTTCCTAACCATCGCCGGGACTACCAATCTCGCACCTGGTCCAACCAACATGTTCCCAAGAGTCCAAATAACAAGGCTACCCAACCTATAAACCCCTCCACATCACACACTGACCACCCACTTAATCCTAAAAATCAAGATCCAAAATCTTAACCCAATGGTCGTTACCAAGTCCCACTTGCATTGCTATGATCACACGGGCCTTGCCCATGGGTCCCACTCAACTAGACCACGGAGCAAACTTACTCACGAGTCCCACCCGCCTAGAGCTACACAAGCCTGACTCCGCCTTGGACCCTAATGGTCCTCAACCTAGAACAGAGAAATACACCCAAACAAGTCTCTTAAGGATTTGTATTAAAACTTAATTAGAATTAACAGGCTATGCCTCATGTTTCTTGACGATGAAGATTATATCCAACTTGATTTTCCTCTCATACATATTTGATATGTTCTTATAAGGGACTAAAATGTCAAGTGTGATTAATAAAAGCCATGTGATTTTAAGTTTAAAAAAATCACATAAGTAAGGTAAGAGCTATAGTCGATTAAAGAGGTTAAAACGATACATTTTTGGAAACTTCTCTAAAAGTAGATAAAATAGGTTGAGAGACTAAAATGGACAAATGAAATAGTCAGTTGTTCATTTCATAACATTTTCCCTTAATTTTAACCAATATTACATATTATACCCGGTTAAAAAGGGCAAGAGCTGCAGTTCATATAGTTGCGTGGAAAGAGCTACGGGTCAAGGGAGGTATCGGTGGTACTTTCATGAACGTTGTTCCGTCCTTTGTGGTACCCCATGAATGTGTGCATTGAGTGGCTTCATCGACCGTCTGCTCCCATTCTCTTTGACTTTCGCTCACTTATACTGTATGTAATATAAATTGTACCAAAGTGTATGGTTGAAATACATGGATTTCCATATATTGTAAATTGTGTGTGTGTGTGAGAGAAAGAGAGAGAGAGAGAGAGAGAGAGAGAGAGAGAGATGATTGATAGGGAAAGAGAAAAATATATATTTGTATAAGGTTCATGTGTAATGTGAGTTGGGAGAGTTGGACTCCTTACACCCTAAAAAAGAGGGTGTTCAAAAGTCCTTTCAACTAAAAATAAATTAAAATTAGTTTAATAAGTAAAAAAAATTAAAAGAAAAAGTTTTTTGATTTTTCCGTATTTATTGCTATAATTATATGCATTGTTATTTGATTTAACATTTGTAATTTTCAAGTAGCTAGAAAAAAAAAATGTGTCAATCTATAGTTACCATCTCAAAATGTCGCATATCCACAATCTAGGTGTCACAAAAACCCTTTATTGACTACATATTTTCATGAATCAAAAAACTCAAAAACAAAATATATGTACATGATTCACATACAATCTTCACATTAAACCCACCATTTTTCACCATTCTCATTATGCTTGGCGACGAAGACGATCCATCATACTTGGTCGCCTGACCCGATCTGGCCGAGGGCGATCAAGTAAATTTTCAGGCTCACTCAAAACATACAAAGGTAACTCATATCTAATATTTAATTCATCATAGCAAATTGACATGTCACGATTCACAAGTCTAATGCGATTTTCATCAATAATTGCTTGTGCATACGGCAAGTCACTTTCTGCAGCCCTTCGAAGCGCTTGCCAGATCTCTAAAAACCATCAAAACAAAATTTGTAATCAGATTGTACGGTATTTGACATTCACATGAATCCGAACCAACATGATAAACCTTGCAATTATTTGTAGCAATAAAACAGTTGAAATAATGGAAAAGGACGTAAATACCCTTATCATTAAAATTTTGTCTACAAAGTTTGTTCAGCTCGGTCTGGTCAGAAAAATACCTAGTTGGCCACCGAAACGGGGAATATTACGCCAAAATACATTGCGCATATCTCGGAGTTGTTCCAAAGTAATGTCAGCATCATGATTCCATGGCCTTGGTTTTCTTACTCGATTAAAATGGGCAACTGGAAGAACACCAAAATATAATTAAAGATTAATGAATACAATACCCTTTATTATCAATGACCAAAATTTGTAATTAAAGATTAATGAATATAATATCCTTCAAATTGACTAGCCAATATTTGTAACGTTGACTATGACCAAAAAAAAAAAAAAAAAACTAAAACCCTAATTAACCAGTTCACCCTCTCAAATCAACATAATGCTACGTATACGCAACCAATTTAAATACCCCAAGATTGGCTGAAACATATAAATCACATAAGATTCTCATTATTTCACATTCTAAAGTTATCAAAAATCATTGACGAAAACCAATGCATATATAGAGCTTGGAGAATCGGAATACTTACGTCCAGCATCATCATAAGCCGATGATTTAACACAGCCCATTATGAATGACCTCTCCTCTGAATCTTCGATTGCTGGGAGAATACTAGTGAAATCGGGGTTGATTCTTGTGAACGCTGAATCGTTTCTGTTACAAATTCTTGAAAAGAAAGAGATGTGTCAACCAGAATCAGTCTATGAAATGTCTCAGTGAAAGGAAAACGAAAGAAAAGTCGCAAAAAAATTGAAGGATAGAAGAAATGCAAAAAATGAAGCGGAGAAGTTGTGTAAACTGACTTCGTAAAAACTGGAAAGTAGTTATGTACTTATATATTATATATTAAAGGCAGCGATTTTAATTCAATTTTAAAACAAATTGGTTTAAGCTATTTTTTTTTAATGTAAATTATGTGAAATAGCCAAACATAAGGGTGTGCAAAAGTTACATGTCCATTATGAGCCACTGGATCTTTCTTTCTTTCAATTTCAACCACTCTAATTACCTATTTATGGTTTCCGGCTCTTCACACTCCCTGCAGCGCGCCTCCGACTTTAGGTGCCCACTTTTCCCCAATCTCACTCTAACTCCCATGGTTGTAGAATGGAGACAAGCTTCAACTTCTCCCACGTTCTTAATTGGCGTTGATAAAGAGCTTCACATCTCTCTCTCTCTCTCTCTCTCTCTCTCTCTCTCTCTCTCTCTCTCTCTCTCTCTCTCTCTCTCTCTCTCTCTCTCTCTCTCTCTCTCTCTCTCTCTCTCCCCCATAAAAGCATGAAGTCACATCCTCATTCAATTCTTCTTCTTTTGCTTCATGTCTCTTGCTAAAATTTTGCTTGATATTAGGGGCGGTGGTAGTGTCGCTAGATGGAGAGGGAGCAACTGGTTGAAAACCTTCGATTTGAAATCTTTAAAACCAAGAACATTTGGATTGGTTGAATCATGGGAATACTATAGGAAATTATTTATTTATTTCCTCTCATTCTCTTGCTTCATGTCTTATGATGATCACAAAAAGCACTCAAAACATCCACTAAAGGCTTGGAGTCGCGACGCAATTCTACAACTCCGTATGGCGATGGTTGGGTAGGAAGAGGATGTTGGTAAACTGTAACATCCATAAAAATCATGAAAAATTTAATCTTTTACAACAACCCAAAAATCACCATTGTTTACAAATAGTTTTCCAAAAACATGTCAATATCAGAGTAATCCCAAAAATCATGAAACAAAACATGAGGAACTGCACGATCACACATTCGCCTTTTCGCGATCCTCTGAGGTACCTGAAACATAATCCAATACTGTAAGCCCAAAGCTTAGTGAGTTCCCCCTAAATACCAATACACAACAAAATAGCACAACATAATAATAGCATGCAATGGGTCCACAACTAACAGACTGGATTACCCATGAGCCTACAACATACGTCTTGCTAGCTACCTAGGCCTAGAGCTTATGTTTAGCTTGCTCCCCGGCCTGATCAGTCCTCGGATTGACTACCACTAAGCCCTCAGTACGAATCTGGTATGCCTTTCTCCATTCTCAGCTCGTATCTGGAATGCTCATGAGCCCTCAATATGAGTCTGGCATGCCCTCCCTGGCCCTCATCTCATATCTAGTATGCTCCAGGGTTTCTTGGCTACAACACGGAGCAATATAACCTCAACCCATGTTGGATTAGGTGTCTAAGCCCATAACTATTATTGGTAAGTACTTGATCGGAGAGTAGCATGGTCCATTTGGGTTGCATGGTATCAGAACAATTTGGATAGACTTTTGTGAGAATAGTATATTTATGATTTATTAATATATTATAAGTTCTAATATATTAATATGGAATCATATTATTTAATTAGTATTGATCAAGAATTAGTTTGGAATTAATTTTCTGATCAAAAGAGAATAATTAAATAAATAGGGATTGGTTTGGTAAATCATTCATTCTTATATAGTGGGCTTATGATCCATAATTCTTCATGTTGGGCTAAACCCATGTGGTGACCCATAAATACTCCATGGAGGATAAAACCCATGGATCATGAAGAATGTGGAAAGTTATGAGTTACATGGTGTAACCCTAATGTCTACACTATATAAAAAACCCCATGGTTCCTAAAATCGACACTTAAGGCATATGCATGAGGGTAAGCCGATTTGTGAAGCAATATAATCTTCTCTCAAGTTATTCCAATTGTTGGTGGTGTTTTGTGAACCATTTGAGGTGCAACACTTGGGGCACTAAGCTCTTTAAGGTCCAAGGAATCAAGCTACAACAAAAGGTATGTCATTCAACTATATTTTATATTGTGTATAGTCCATAATATGCTAGTTAGGATGATACCTTGGAAAAATTGATATTTGCATGTATAATAGAGAAAACATAGATCCAAGGTATATAGGGTTTCATGTACAACATAGGAGTGTTAGAATGCTCAAAACCTAACAACCCAACCCACACACTATGTCGACATATAACAGATAATATCATATAAAGATAAACAGACAGTATCACATGTACTCCTACAGATCTACCAAACTATCATATCAACCTAGCATGCATATCTATTCCATACTCAACATATCAACCATATAAGATTATCAAACCAATGAGCCGACCCTGGTGCCTTTAACCTAAAAGTACAGTGAGGAAACTCACCTCACAAGTAACACATAACTGATAAGGCCCGACTCCGAATCTCAGGTCTCAAGTCAAATGCCTACAACCACCAAGTGACCAATTCCATCAAAACCCAATAATACCCAAAATACCCTTAAAAGTCAAACTTGATCAATCATGGTCAAACTTGGTCAAACATGGTCAAACTCCATAAACCCACTAATTTCAACCCAGTCGAGTTAACACGAAAATGGTTGAACCATGCGAGTACGCAGGGCGTACTCTGGAGGTACGCTCAACATACGTAAGCATCGCATTGACTGCATTATGGGGACGTTGATCGAGAATGCGGGGCATACTCCGTTTTACGCGGGGCGTACCCTCACAGAGCCCAAAACCTCATTAATTGCTTAATGGATTAAGCACTTAAGCCCAAACATTAGATCCATGGTCCAAATGCACCACAGAGTCATAAAGTCTCCAACTTTGTGACTTTAAACGTCCAAAAAGTCCTTAATACATGGTCTTAATCCATTAAGACCTTCTACAAGAAGCATGGAGCCAAACTAGCTAAAGGGACCTCATTTTTATGGTTTATAACCCTTCCTAGGGTGTAAAAGGACAACCCAAAACGTCCAAAACCAAACATGCATAACATTGGGACTTTTAGGACAAGAAGAGAAACATAAAGCTATCAAGATGAGATACAAGCAAAAAAGCATAAAGGTAGCAACTTTTTACCTTTTGCAGCTTCCTAAGAAGGTTATGATCCAAGATCCACAAGCTTGCTTCCACTTCTAATCTCCTTGATGCAATCGCTTCCTCCTTAAGCACACAAAGAACACACTTTTAGCTCAAAATACTCTTTTATGGGGTTAGGATTTGCTAAAAACGACACAAGGGCTTGGAGGCTAAAAGGATGAGGCTAAATGATCCATAAAGGTGTTTAAATACCCTTCAAACCTTAAAAATCAGGGTTTCACTTGGAAATTAGTACGCCAAGCGTACTAGGCTACGCCCTAGTACGCTTAGCGTACTCACATGTACGCTCAGCGTACAACTCCTGCTCCAAAATTACTATTTTTCCACTAGGGCTTCTCAGGGCTACATCTTTAAAATCTAAGGAACTAAATGACATAATTTAAAACCAAAGGGAGGATTTGAAAATACCTGAAACCTAGGATGTTACATAAACCGAAATCAGCTAGAATCGTGAACCATAACAACACTAACTACAAGGCTCGTGATGGAATCTTCGTCAAAACAACCTATGCTACTCACTACTCAACCGAATGCTCAACCTAAATGAGAGGAGAATGACCAGACTGAAGAAAAAACCAAAAAGGCCAGGAAGGCAATCTTAATCATAGTGGAAACAGCTAGCAGTTCGAGTACAACAGGGTGAAACATATTTGGTAAACCAACCCGGTGGACCTCTAGAAACGACAATCTTGCACTACAAGCACTGTCACCATTGTTACAACAACATTTTACAAATACTATAACCACCTAGCCAACCACAACGCCATACATAATACTGCCTCCATCATTCCCATACACGCATTACCAAGCATATTTCCCCCTCAACATCTGTAACATCCCAAAAATACAGGCTAAAAAAAATTATTTTTAAATAAGTCATTATAAAACCAATAGTGTAATAAAACATTTGTAATATCATGTCATGTCAAAACCAAAGTAAAAATAATTAAACATGTTATCATAAAACAATATCAGAGTGTAATCCCAAAGATCCCATGTGCGGAAAACCATAGTGTGATGCGCTGCGATCAAACCGACTCCTTTCCTTTAGACACAAAGTACCTGAAACCAAAACTGAAAACCGTAAGCACGAAGCTTAGTGAGTTCCCCCATCATACCACATACCATATAATCACATAACATATATATATATATATATATTGTCAGGCATATCTGGGTGCCCGACCTACCCCTTCGGTCCTCTCGACCGGATACTGACTAGCATATCTGGGTGCTGGTCTCCCCTTCGGTCCTCTCGACCGGATACTGACTAGCATATCTGGGTGCTGGTCTCCCCTTCGGTCCTCTCGACCGGATACTGGGGAATATTTCACCCCTACCACTACCACATAACACGTATCACATAATATATTTAACATGGCTGGGCTTGACTGCCCCTTCGGCCCTATCGACCGGTAACCTGGGGACTAAATCCCCTACTATCACTAGCAAATAACATTATATCATACAAACACATAAATATAACACAGGTAGTAGCAACCCTAGATGAATATCACAAAGACAATCATCTAATCATATACTTCCTACTAGTGGGCCGGCATAGTGGCCTTAGACCCACTACTACTAGAAGGTAACTCACCTCACACTGCTGAAGTTCCGAAGACACAATCCCACACTTGTTGAAGTCCCGCAGACTCGACCCCAGCTGCTAGCTGACAGATTCACGAACTGTCAACACCAAAATAACACCCAATTAATAATTGGGTCCTAATACATAACCATAAACACTTACTTTGGATAATTACATTACCCCAATCTTGGCTTATTCAAACCCAAGGCCCAATTCGTAGGCCCAAAGTCAACTATGAATCAAAGCCCAACACATGGCCCAATTTTCCAAATTGGGCCCAAGCCCCTTACATGGGACTTACCCTAGGCCCATTAAATTATTTTAGCCCATATAATTATTCTTGGATGGCCCATTAATAATCCAATCATTAAGGCCCAAAAGAAAGGCCCAACAATAAACCCAAGTGAAGTTAGAGTTTCACATAAAATGCCGATTAGGGTTAAGTTTCCTACTTAACCCATTAAGGAATTATTCCTCTAAGGACTTAATCCATTAAGTCCATTCTTCTAAATAAGTCATACGGTGTGATTGGGCTTAATCACACAATTACATTCCAATGGCCTAAATGTGGGTCCCAACAAGTCCAAGCCCATAATCCCAAATTAGAGTTTTCACATGAAA